CAGACAGACAGACAGACAGACAGACAGACAGACAGACAGACAGACAGACAGACAGACAGACAGATAGATAGATAGATAGATAGATAGATATGGTATCAGAGAAGAGCAACAAAGATGATTGGGGGTTAGAGGCTAAACCCTATCATGAATGATTGAAGGAACTAGATATGCCTAGTCTAATAAACAAAATCTAGGGGTGATATGATAGCAGTACTTGAGGGGCTCTCACAGAGAAGAGGGAACCAGTCTATTCTCCACAGCACCTTAGGGTAGGACAAGAAGCAATAGATGGAAACTAATCAAGGGGAGACCTAGAACTAAAGAGAAATTTCCTGACAGTTAGAACAATTAATCAGTGGAATGGCTTATTTCTGGAAGTTGTGGGAGTTCCATCACTGGAAGTTTTCAGAAAGAGACTGGACAGCCCTTATCCAGAACAATCAATGTCCCATTTGGTCCGTGATACAGGCCAGAACACCAAAAAATTGATGCCATTGAAAAAGCAACAAATAAAACAACAACAACAACAACAGTAACAACAACAAAATGCAGCCCATGGTTGCAAGCAAATTGCACAACCTACTTTAAAGCATAGTAACATAGTGCACATAATACATGCCTTTAAAGAGAGAGGGCGGAGCTTCAATCACATAGTTGCAGCCATGCAGCCCTCCTTTCCTTCATCCATCCATCCATTTTCATCATCCATCCATCCATTGGTCGATTGATCCATCCATTTATCTTCATAATTCATCTACCCTTCATACTTCATCCATCCATCCTTCATATTTCACTTTAATTATGTCTTTCTAATCCATATGATTTTCTTATTCTAATTCTAAACATTCTGCTGCATAATTACAAGTCTCTCTAATGCATATGGTTTCTTCATGTTGCATAGCAGATAGGTAGATTTCCTCTAATTGGGAATATGACTTTGTGTGTTGAAATGCTCCTCGGTCCTCTTTGTAATCTGAGCTTCATAATGATTTCAGCATATATGCCACTTGATTCTATTATAGCTAACAACTTAGCAAATTGAAACAGTCTGGCTTATTGCAAAGCAGTTGTAACTTCCTTTTTAAGTTTAATTGCTGAAACATAAGGATAATTGTAATCTTGTTGAAAGAAGCTAAGCTTCTTCATATTGAATTTGTGAGATTCCCCCAGGTGCCCTTTGTGAAAATGCTCAGAGATTCAGAGTAGTTTCTTCTTACAGCCAGAACTTATGGAAGTTTAAAACAAAACAAATAGGAAAACCTCCTCAGCTGAGTTTTAATGATATTTGATTGTTGTTCCAAAGAGAAAAATAATCCTGAAGATCATCTCTTTAATTTATGATTATCTGGTCATTAAAAAGGAGCAATCAACATGGACCAAAGCAAGAATATGCAGTGTTTGCTTGACTGATCAAAAACTAACAGTCCTTTGTCATTGAGTTTGCTTGTTGGAAGCCAGCTAGGAAGGTTACAAATGGTGATTACCCCAGGACAGTGCAGCTGTTATAAGTACACACCAAGCATCCAAATTTTGATTACATGACCAGGGGTGGGATTCAATTTTTTTAACAACTGGTTCTGTGGGCGTGGCTTAGTTAGTGGGCATGGCTTGGTGGTCATGTGACTGTTTGGGCGTGGCCAACTCAACATCACTCACATCGAGGCACGCATCTCCTCGCCTGGCCTCTCATGACTGTGGGGATGCTGCAACAGTTGTAAGTGTGAAAAATGGTCATAAGTCACTTTTTTCAGTGCCATTGTAACTTTGAATGGTCACTCCACACAAGCAAAGTACCAGCAAAGGAGGGGAAAAAACTCCAGAGAGGTTCCTGAGACAGGAAGTCTAGTCCTGCCAAGCATGTAATAAAGGTTAACGGAGAGGCATTTTCTGTAAGCAACACCAGAATGTTTCCTTCCTGCCTTCCTTACAGGATTAGGCCAGTAATTTCTTCTAACAACCGGTTCTCTGAACTGCTTAGAATGTTAACAACCGGTTCTAGCAAAAAGGTGCAAACTGGTAGAATCCCACCCCTGTACATGACAATGGATACATGATCATAAGTCACTTTTTTCAGTGCCACTGTAACTTTGAACAGCCACTAAACGAAATGGTTGTAAGTTGAATTTGCCTCTGACATTTTCATTCAAGTGTTGTTTTGGCAATTCATTATTTTTTTTCCTCAACCTGTTAGGAGCTTTTTTTTTTTTTTTTTGCATCTGCTCCCATCACACATTCTCTCTCAGAACCCTCATAATAATCCTGTAGTATAGAACATTATCATTAATCTTATATTACCTAAATCCATCAGAATGTCTTGACTAAAATTGGGTATGAGGATGGAAGGGGTGAAATTCAATCAAGGGACTGTTTCATAGCTCCATTTCTTAACCACAAGACTGCACCAGCTATCAAATGTACCAGCTGTCATACACTTTCAAATGGTATTATTTTTCATGCCAGCTAGCATAGAGGAGCAAAATTTAAATTGCTATGGCAGACCAACTTTCAAATCAATTATTAAAATAAGACATCAAAGAAGATATTTATTGCATTTCGTCCTTAGTCAAGTAACATTTGAGGTGAAGTTCGGATTATATCCTACTTTTCGGTTTATTGACACCAATAAATTTATATTAAGTAAAAACTAGCAAAAACTATGTTAAGAAAGTTCTAGATAGCAAGCTCCCTTGTCCTTAGCTGCATTACAGTTAGTCCTTAGCCACAACTGAGCCCAAATTTTCCTTTGCTAAGCTAGAGAGTTGTTAAGTGAGTTTTGCCCCATTTTACAACCTTTCTTCCCATGGTTGCTAAGTGAATCACTGATTGTTAACTGGATCTGGCTTCCTTGTTGACTTTGCTTGTAGAATTTGGCAAAAATGATTATTGTCAGGATTCTGATTGATGCCCTAATTAAGCCATGAGCATTGAGCCAAGTTTCAAAAGAAATCCAGTTATTTATTAGGAGCAACATGTCGGCACATACCCAATGTCAGGATTCTGGCACTTAACCCCACTGTCTTTTGTCCAAGTACAAATAGTTGCCTATGGAGGCCATACATTAGGAGACACTGATAGGTTCTTCAGATGGGAGCAGGATAGTCCTGTGTCAGAGATGTTCTACTGGATCTTGAAATGAGCAGATGGTTGGACTAAATGACATTAGTGACTATATATATATAACATTGATTTAAGGCAAGTTGTTGTACTTTTTATAACCCTGACCTTGTGATCCTCACCATAAGATATTTCACAGAGGGATCTCTATGTTGTTTCCCCAGTGAGGTGTTACCTTTTGGACTTCCAACTGAATACACCCTTACTTTTCTACTCCGCCTTCTACCAGAAAGTCCCCGAGAGGCCTTTTCTATCTGGCAGATAACAGATGAGGACTTCCAGCCGCTTCTCAGCATCATTCTTGATCGTAAGTAGAGATATAACCTTCTGGGAGAGGATTCCCTTGCTCCTTGAAATGAAGCCCTTAAGATCTCGAAGTTGTGGAATGTCCTTTCCAATCGTATCGTGATGGTACCTGATTTGATGAAAGCAGTTGGTTTGGTTCTCCTTAATTCTTTTTAACGTTGGAGTGGTGTGTTGAGTGGTGTGTTGATAATCTGGAGGCTGTGAGTTCAATCCTAAATTGCAGCAGAAATTTTTCCATGGACCAGAGGGGATGTGGCATCCTGCGATCCCAAATAAAGAATGATCGATCAGTAGGAAAACGGGGTGGGGAATTTTCCTGCAGACTTTTTTTGGGTATTTTCCCAAGGTCTCTGGTCCTCGGGATTTAAAATTATGAGTTTGGTGGTCCCTGAGGTCCAAAAGGTTGGCGACCCCTAGTGTCATGCCCCTGATGGAGGCTAACTCCGAGGGAGAGGAGGAACAGCCAACAGGGAGTGGAAGTGTGGCTCCAGAGGTGGTGGAGGAGGCTGGGGAAGGGCAGAGGCTGGCTGAGCAGTCAGAGGAGGACCCAGGCCCATCCCCTATCCATCCAAGGGCACGCAGGGAGGAGAGGATCAGGGAAAAACATGGTCTACTCAGGAGGAGAGGGCCATGATCCTCTTCATAGGTTGCAGGTGTGAGATCTGCATAAGAGTTTGGACCTGCATGCTAGCAAATGCTGGAGATAGTGAGTATTTTTCCTGGATGAGGTGTATCTTGGTTGGCTTTCTTCCAATGGATTGTACCTGGTTATCTTCCTGAAGTTTGTAATTAATTATCCTGGTCTGTCGTGGAACTTTCTTCAGTGTGGTTTGTTTTTGGTTTTTGCTTTGTTATCTGCAATTTGAGTTTGAACTGTATTTCTTTCGTTTAGAATGTTATTTTGAAAATAGTTTAATCTCCAACTGTGAACAATTGAACAGTGAAGCCAAGTTGAAGGCATTAAAGGACCTTTATTTACGTTTTGGTTTTTGTTATATTTGTGGTGCACTCCGGGGCATCACACCTGGACTAGAAGAACTGCAAAGTCCCTTCCAACTCTGTTATTCTGAATTCAAGTGAGGTTGAATTTAGCTTGTGTATGGCTGCATAGTGATTCTAGTCTTACCTCTTTTGTCTCCACCCCTAGATTTGACCATTCTTTCTCCTACATTTCACCACTTAGAATGGAACTTAACCAATTTCCATTGGGCAATCATATTTCTCCCTGGAATTGCCAAACCAAATGTGCCAAGTATGTAGAATGGATGGTTGACCTATGTGGGTGACATGTTCGCACATACCAGCATGACTCCTACGGACCATTATGGGAGATCTCCCCTCTCAAATGGATTTTCCGTTTCTCACAATTATGTTTGGCTATGTTTTGTGGTGTTATTTCTTCTATCAAGACACAATGAGAGATTGGACTTCAGCTCTTGTCAGCCACCAGTATGGCCAGTGGCAAATGGGAGTTGTGCCGTAAAACTTCTGTAAAGAATTCCTTTGTCCTTGTTTTATACTCTGCTGTTCATGCTTTCAATAATGCTGAGGTCAACCTGGTGTCCGCAGATAATGCTGGACTTCAAATCTCACCATCTCATACAGGTAGTCCTTGACTTACAATACTTCATTTAGTGACCGTTTCAACCTACAATACCCCTGAAAAAAGCGACCATTTTTCACACTTATGACTGTTGCAGCAGGGGGTGGGATTCTTCCGGTTCAGACCGGTTCGGGCAAACCAGATGTTAGAGTTACAGCTGGTTTGCTGAACCGGTATTTCACACGACCGGCTGGCCCCGCCCCTCCCCTTCCAGGAGTCTCCCCATGGCCCAATTTTCAATGGAGGTAAGTTCAGGGTCTACGCGGAGGCTCTGGGAGCGGGAAAAATGGGCCTTCTGGAAGTCCAGAAACGGGCCTGTTTCCAGCTGCCGGAGGGCCTCCAGAGGCTGGTGGAGTCTGTTTTCGTCCTCCCAGAGGCCCGGGAGAGGCCTCTGGACCCTTGGGAGGCTGAAAATGGCCTCCCCCGGGCTCTGGAGGCCCACCGGAAGCCGGAAACAGAAAGTTCCAGTAGGCCCCTCCCACCATGGTCATGTTGATCCCCTTTTGTAGTCTTCTGACAACCAAAGTCAATTTGGAAACCGGATTCACTTAGCAACCGTCTTACTGACTTAACAACTGCAGTGATTCCCTTAACAACTGTGGCAAGAGAGGTGGTAAAATGAGGCAAAAACTCACTTAACCAATGTCTCACTTAGCAACAGGAATTTCGGGCTCAGTTTTGGCGGTAAGTCGAGGACTACCTGTATATAGGTTGAGGAAGGATGCTAGAGAGAATTTTGTAAAAGCTTTCCAGTTTATTTGTTGTCTTTTTTTCCCCTCTCCCTGCAGCTCTTAAGAAATCCTTGGCGTATTTCCATCGTGACCATGACGCTGATATAGAAGAAGTCACCTTTGATCAACAGGAAGTGAAGAAGATATTCTATGGAAGCTTTCATAAGGTCCTTCCAGGGCTGGGCTGCTGGGGTCTCGCAGGGGTTCAAGAGAGTTCGGATTCTGTGCAGTTCAGACAACCCCCAAATCCCACTCCTGGCTGGCCCTACCCACCCCACCCCTTTCCTTCCCTCCCAGGAGTCCCCACGCGGCCCGTTTTGGATGCGGGGAAGTGCAGGGTGCGCGCAGAGGCTCGGGGAGGGTGAAAAACGGGCCTTCTGGAAGTTCAGGAAGGCCGGAAATGGGCCCGTTTCCAGCATCCAGAGAGCCTCCAGAGCCCGGGGAGGCCGTTTTTACCCTGCCGGAGGCTCAAGAAAAGCCTCCGGAGCCCGGGGAGGGCAAAAACGCCCCCACTCCGTCATGGTGCAGGAGGCCGACTAGGCCACACCCAGCAACTGGGCGGAGAACCCATTGCTAAATTTTTTGAAGCCCACCCCTGGTCCTTCTCCAAAAACAGATATTCACAAGCACAGTATACAACCCCCCCCCCAATTCTTCTGCCTCCTCCCTGCTTTGATTTTTCAAAATAACGATTCTAAAAAAATAAATAAAATCTATTTAGGACATTTCCTCGCATGTTCATAGGCACATATGTTGAAATTTGGGGATGTGTGCCAGAATCATAAGGAAGGAATAAATTCCTTCCTGTCTCTATGTGCTAATCTACATAAATTTATGCACACAAGTATCCAAGAATATGTGTGGAAGAATTAAAAAAAAACTAACAAAGAGAAAGAATCTCCTGCCTGGAAATATTAGAAGAGTTTTGAAAGTTAGATGGATGTAACGAGTGGGACACCTCAAACTTAGTTTGATCTTTACAGCTGGTCCTCGACTCACGACTACAATGGAACCCAAAATTTCTGTAGCTAAGTGAGATGATTGTTAACTGAATTTTGCTCCATTTCTTGCCACAATGGTTAAGTGAGTTGCTGCAGTTATTAGGAACAGGATTGTTAAATGAATCAATCTGGCTTCCCCAATGATTGCTTGACAGAAGGTTGCAAAAGTTGATCACAGAACCCCGGGATGCTGCAACGATCATAAATATGAGTCAGTTGCCTAGCGTCTAAATTTTGTCATGATTAGGAGAGACTTCTACATTCTATTCTGTTCTATTCTATTCCATTCCGCTCCACTCCATATTTTCTATTCTATTCTATTCTATTCTATTCTATTCTATTCTATTCTATTCTATTCTATTCTATTCTATTCTATTCTATTCTATTCTATTCTATTCTATTCTATTCTATAGCTGACTGACACCATTTGAGAATGTTTTGAACTTTCTTAAGGCAGCGGGAGCTATGAAGCTCTTCCAAAGAGGGGAGAGGACAACCAATGATCCTCTGGGCAATGACGTTAACCCTCTGGAGCGCTGTCCTATCTGCCCCTGTGCAATTGGCAAACCATACAGAGGGGCAGTAAGTTAAGATACTCTCTCTGATGCAGCGGTAGAAGGTCACCGGAAGTTTTTCATACAGTTGTTGTTTTCTCAGGTAGTATAATCTCTGCTGGGCCATTTTGACCAGTGCTGCAACGTGAGCACCCCCAGGTCAGGTCCTCTTTTATGATAACACCCAGAAACTTAAAACTGGCCACTTGCTCCACTCAATCTCCATTGATAAGCATGCCTGATCTGTTCCTTCTATAGACCGCCATAAGCTCCTTGGTCTTATTGGTGTTGAGGAGCAAGTTATTGTCTCCACACCACGAAAGCAATTAGAAATTCAACTTTTTACTTATCATCTAAGCTCAGGATGCTGCAGCTGTCTTATGGCTGCAACTTTTTCCAGAATGCAGGGGTTATAATTCAGGTGGGCCCAGAGGTTTCCAAGGTGTGTTGCATTTGTGTTGCTTAGTCTGCAATCAAGAAAAAAGACTCAACTGTTTCTGTCTGTTGGGCAGGTCCACGTATTGGTGAGCCATGGCTGGGTCAGACTCTACGTTGACTGCAAGAAAATAGGAGAAAAGATTCTTGGGAAATCAGAGATCCTTTCAACGGCAGGCTTTATCACGCTTGGGAAGCTGACAAGAACACGAGGACCACGGAGTGGATCAGCCATGGTAAGCTTCTTGATGGCCCATAGTCTTTCTCGGATCCCCAAAGGTAAGCAACCTTAAGGAAACCTAGTGAAGATATAGAACAAGAGTCTTCCAACTTGGCAAGTCTTAAGACTTGTGGACTTCAACTCCCAGAATTCCTGAGCGAACATGACTGGAGGAGGAATTCTGGGAGTTGAATTCCAACAAGTCTCAAAGCTGTCAAGTTTGAAGGCCCCTGAAGACTGTAAAAGGGAGAAAAGCTAAGTCTTATGAGCATAGCAACACCGTGTAAGGCAGGGGTGTCCAACCTTGGC